CGGCGCCGGGCTGCCGCCTCGAGCCCAAGCTCATTATCACAACTCTCGAACAATTACAATCGGATTGAATAACTACAATTGTTTAATTACAGCTATACTAGACTCTAGGTTACAATGTTGCGGGATTAACCAAAATTCCAAAGACTCCGGTGTTCTTTCATCTCCGACATATATAAGTATATGTGTGTGAGTATATGCGTGCGCAGCATCTCGTAAAACAAAAGAGTGTCACTGTTCCGTACGCAAGGTAAAAATTGAAAGCAGAAGAGTGCTGAATGGGTATCTATGAACATCTTGTAAATCACATATTAAATAAATACAAAACTATTTTATTATCGTCTCTACATGTAATGAAAGTGTTGCTACGTATTTATTTCCGCGATTACGATCTACAATTCTCGATAATTTTACATGAAGTATACACATTATATATGAGGGTGTGTTGGTAAATTTTCGTAAAATTTTTTACATATTCGAAATGTAGATAGCAAATTATTGTTTCGTAATTAGCAGATCATTTTACAAGAGGACCATAGAAGTGTGACGTGTGACAATCCAAAAGAAACAATGCGCTATTCCAACGTTAAAAACTTAACAGGAATGCGCGAAATTACAGAAAGAAAGATTATATATATATATATATATATATACTATATATATATATATATATATATGTATATACTATACATACAATATACAATATACACTACAATATATATATCATATATTATATATATATATACATATATATATATGTATATATATAGTGTATTATAAGTATAACATTTTATTAGTGTGGATATTCATGCAAATACAATATTTTCTAATCACAATTGAAAAAGATAGAGCCTAAGCAGAAATTTGTTTTATCTGTTAAATATTATAATGAGTGTCCTTTATACTTTGAATATTTTATACAGGGCGTTCCATAACCGGGACAAACTATAGCTATGATATGGTAAAAGATAGACAACATTTCATTAGGCAAAATTAAATGGTTGCGAATAATGTGAATGGCCTAGTGTTCATTCCGAAAGCGGAGACGTTTTGAATATTTAAGAACTATTTCTATCTCTCAAATAGAACAACTTTTTCTTACATTAATCAATGGATCTTTGTACTCTGTATAAAAAAGTATTAAGGCATATATACAATCTGTATATTTTTGCATATCCTGTATGTAGATTCCGCGAATTTTTGCATTCAAATATCACATAATTGCACAAAACTGCAATTTTGCTCTAATTATAAGAGAAAGTAAGAGAGCAACGGTATCCTATCTCTCAGCAGATAGAACCGTGGAATTGTGGTTCTTCTATATGTACGTGTGTAGTATCTGGGATAAAGTGGGAACGTTCACTATGTGGCTTTGCTGCAGGATCATGGCTGTGAAAGAATGGTTCAGAAGACTGCAGCCCGTCCAATTGTACCTGATCCTGTTTTTCACCACCGCTTTTTTTATCGTCGAAATGGTCGCCAGTCATGTGACTCATTCGCTCACGTTACTCCTCAATGCCTATCACATGCTATGCAACATCATAGCACTTGTTGGTTGTATCGCCTCCATCAAGGTAAGTTTCACCGTAAATTATCCAGCTTATCAAACTATTCCTTTTGACGATCATCAACTATCTACTATAATAAAGAATATTTCATATAAACAACAAACATATCCTGTATATGAAATGTTCTTTCTCCTAAGTTTGAATTGATTTTTGATTTGAGTTTGCCAGCGTCAATATTATCCATTAAAATTCTGTTGCGATGTTTATCAAATGTATCAAAGAACAAGAAATTTATTACAATATTGAATGATAATGGAAATGATATATGATATATGTAAACTGTGGATTTTTATACATTTATGAGAAATTTGAACATCCAAAAAATGCACAAAATACATGTAATTCTTCTATTTCATGAATATGTAATATTTTAAATTTTACGTTTCCGAATATTATTTGACTCGACGATAATAATTTTCTATAGTCTTTTGTACTTTTAAATATATTATTATGTTGTTAATTTTATATTCTGAATAACACATCATTTTTTTCTATTCTTTATTATATATGATCTTTTTTAATAATTTTTTCATTTTTCTTATTTATCAAATCGGTGACATTTTGAATTCGTTGTAAGAACTTAACGTGTGTTTGTACCATTGGATTGATGCTACAGAAATGTGTTATCTCGTTATCAGAAAAAAGAAAAATACTGAAGGATTTTGATTTCAAAGAAGTTGATTAATTTTATCATAGCACGATGATGCACATGATTTTTCGATCTTCAAACTTTTTAACAAATTTTTTTCTTATTTATATTTACAATTTACTTCATTTTTTATACTAATAATAATTTTTAATAATCATGAATTTCGTTAGCGTATAACTTGTAATGTTTCATTAGAACAAAAATAAACCTAGTTGGTAAATATTATTAAACAAAACACGTGTATTCATCACTCATGTTATATCATAAAAAATTATCTACTGATTGTTGCAATTAAGTTAATTAGGTAATGTATGTTTAAAAAATAATAGTAGATTGGTTATAATTAGACTGCAGGTGTTTATGCGTTATGCTTTCATAGAAAATTTAAAGGTTCAAAACTTTGCAAAATGCATATGACATCGCAAACAATATCCCAAGGTAATTGACATAATTTTATTTACTTTAATAAGAAGTAAGAAGAACGAAAATGTAGAAGAAAATTTTTTTGTCCTTATGAGTTAGTTAAAATTTCGTGATCTATGTTTTATAACAAAACTCAACAAAATGTTTCTCTTTCCATATAACTTGCTTCTACAGTTATCAAAATTTTTTATAACATAGCATAAGTAAATATAGGTGTTCCGTTTAATAATATTTTATTATAAATTAAAGACATATAGCTTCACTTTCTATTTTCGTTGTAACAAAATATTACAAATTATACACTAAAAAAATTCAGAATTACTTGAAATTATAAATACCATTAAAAAATATACTACAAAAATAAATAGTTAATATAAAATATGGAGAAAATTATAAGTAGAAAGGGAATTACGATTAAAACAAACGAAATAGACGGTAAAAAGTCGTGTGTCATAAATACAATTGCCTAAAATTGACTGGTGATTGGTCAAAACTGCTTACGCTAAGCGTTCCAGAATAAAATTTCTGAAATTGATATAGTTTGTTTTTCGTTTAATATAATATCTAGTATAAACATGTGCAGAGTACATAATTATAATAGACGAGAGTAGATTGTGTTATCGTTATCATTTCCCATGATGATAAAAATCTTAATTTGTATTCAATTAAAGTCAATCGTATATATGCATGTTATTATCTACTTTGTAAAACAAGTATTACAAAACTGAATAACGTAAACGATTAACTTATTTGTTTAAGAAAGCATAAATTAGGTTTCAAATGTTTATAATTCAGAACACAATTATTTACAACTATATAAACTAATTAGAAATAAATTAATGTTAGTGATTTATCGTTATAAAAAGTAATAGTCACAATAAGTTATAGAATTCATATCAATTTCATATTTCTATTATTATATTATAATCAATAGAGAGTATCATTTATTGATAGCTCATTTGCTCTTTTGGGCCTTGAGGGGGTTTGGTTTTACATCCTTATATTTGCTTTTAACATAACCTATATACGTCTACATATAGTAAATATATTTGTTTGTTTTGAGACCTAAATCATCTATGGTCTTGTTCGCCACTTATTCCTATTATTTTTAGTATCGCATTGTACAACACTCCTTTTCTTTGTATGGTTCTTTCTCTATCAGTTATTTTAACTCATTCTCTATCCTCTTCGTATGCTTCCTCTCCATACTTTTCTATCCTCCCTACTCCCTTTCCCTTTTCTTTATTTTCCTACTTATTTTCTTTATCCAGTCCTTTCTTGAACCGCATTTCTCTAAAACATATTCTCTCTCTTCCTCTTCTTTCTGCTTTCATTTCCTTGCATCTACTCTTCAGTACTCTACAATTTCTTTTTCTCCCTCATATAGTCTATATCTTCGTTCTTTCTCCTTCAAATTAAAATTTATTTCCTTGCTTATCGTTTGCACGTCTGTACCTCGCCATTAGTTTTTGGTCCTTTGTTCCCTCCTTCTTAAATTATTAGCCTGAAATAGTTATTGCCCTTATCTTCTGGTATTCTCCGTTATATCTCAAAATACTGATTCTTTCATATTATTCTTGATTCTGTACCTTTCACCAATCTCACTATTATTAGATAATATGAAAACTCCATAAAATTTGTGAAATATTTCATATAAAACGAACAACATTTTGTTTACTTTATCAAGAATATAGCTAAAGTTTAACTATTAGAAAATGCGACAATTATTATTGATCAAAATAAACAATAATGAGAAAGAATTTTGTATTGAATTTTCTTTCAAAATTATCTTAAAATATTTTTTTTATTGAGAATATAATTTATAGAGAACAATAATTAATTTAAGTATTAACATATTTCTTTTTTGTAGTATAGCCATCGTCAAAGCAGCATCAGTCACAGTGAAAATAGCGTTTCTAGTTCCTTACGAAATTCAGTAATTCGCATAAATGGCGAAGAACGCGGTTCTACGACGTCTTTGTCGACGAAAACAAAGGTAAAAATAAAATAATTCAATTTGTAATCAGATCGTTCTTGCTTTGAAAATTTAATACAGAAATATACCCAACACACCGAAAAGCTTGCAAACAAAGATTCCAAAAGTGAAATTGGGACAGTGATTAAAAATAAATATTTGGTTTGTTAAATATCAATAAATTATTCGATGATTTCCAAAACAACTTTTGGTTTTACCAAGATTTTTTTTAAGAAAAGGTGGTTATGTATAAAAATATAAATATGACAAAGATGTATCTATGAAGAATACAATGAATTAAAGAAAATTAATTTTCTCAAAATGTTGGTGAACCATTTTAGAATTCAAGGCTCCAATTATTATCCCCTATCATTTTAACCTCTATTAAAATATTATTTAGATCTTAGGCTTCCATGACGTTTGGATGATATATTTATGGTTTTTCAGGTTTCGATCGTGTTTTTAATCGTCTGTCTCACTTTGTGCTGACATCTCGTCAACTTTACTAGAAGAATAGAAGTTACTAGAAGTAGAAACTGTTTCAGACCTTATCGTTTAAATTTCCTGTTCTGGCGTTCACCTGTAACAACTGTTCCAGATCTATTCCAAAGAAGTGAACTGTAATGTTAGCGAGACATTGCGCCGACACAAACTACAACGCATAATTAAAAGCACGATCGAAATTTGAAGAACTATTTATTAAATTATATTTAAAAAACACGTGAAAGAACAAAAAATTTATTTTTCAGCAATCACGATCAGATAGGAGGATGAAGAATACATTTGGCTGGGCGAGAATAGATATCGTTACGATGCTTATTTGTTGCGTTTTTCTCGCATCTTTTTGCTTTTCTTTGTTGGTCGAAGCTTTACAAACTCTGGTGCATATAGATCATTTGGATGAAATGCACCATCCGATGCCTGTTCTCACAATTGGCGCGTGTGGTATCCTCCTTAATGCTTTTTGTTACATACTAATTGGAGGATACACCTTCAATCAGGGTCTTGTTCTCCACGTTACAATGAATGGAGATGTGATACTACGACGGTATGTAATATTATATAATAACTGTATGTCATTTGATAACACTGTTTAACCTGTGGGCTAAACACGAATCTGCAAATCGTTTTTTCCTAGAACCGACAGTTTTCGAAAACGTATTTAAATGTTTATACTGCATTAACAATACATATTATTTTGTTCATAAGAGTCCACAGAATTTTTTCGTCCGAACCGCAACTCGGTAACTGCTACTCTAACACCACAAAACATATCCAAAGTTGAAAATTTGCAATTTTTTTCAAAATTAATTTTTTCGAAAACTGTAGATTTCAAGAAAAAAACGTGTTGCAGATTTGTGCTTAGCTTACAGAAGTGTGCAGGAATCATCTACTGAAGATTACAAAATCGAAAAAACATTAAAATTTACTGAACAACATAATTAGTCTGCGTATGTTTACGTAAATACATGTTTTTATACAATAGAATTCAAATAGAGAAATGAAAATAGATTAACAAACTATAAATTTAAAATTCCTACTAAAACATAGTAGCAATTATATATGTCATTACTTATGATATTACTGTTATGTACAGTTACTATTTAAATGTGATGTAAATTATATTAGAGTCAGAAGTCTTTCCATAAGTTTAGAAGAAGTTCCTTAATTTGATTTATAATTAAAAAATTAAAAAGTGATCAAGATAAAACGCTTGTCAGTAGCAAAATAATTCTACAAGTGTGCAAGTAAAAGTCATTTGTATACATCGTAATATTTTATTGCACCTTTTTATTATGATTATGAAAAGTAAAATCATTGTATTTCGAAAATATATATCATTATATTCTTTCGAAAAGATTTTATTTTTAGCTTTAGATTTGTTTGTTCATATAGAATCATATAGTTCTCAGTTACGAAGGACACTATACATATATAAATATGTATAGACATATACTATACAAATAAATTTATTGCGAACAGTATATTATTCGAAACTTTTGAGAATTTGTGTACGTCATCGAACTCTTCAATGCTTGATAGAGAAATTAGAAAAAATATATTATGACCGAACCATAAATTTCTTTGCATTTATGGAGAAATCCAAAAATGCACAAAATATTCAAAAATATATGAAATATTCTGTGTGTAATATTTGTTATGACACAGTAGATAAAATAAATTTCCGTCTGGATTCCATTTTTTAAACTATATTCATAAAAATAAGAATTTGCATAAATATCTGCACTCTAATTATGATTTTACTATATACATATATTTTCTTGGCTAATCCAAATTCAAAAGAAATGTGGAAGATTTCCGAAACTAACGATAAGATATGCGTTGTCTATTTTTAGGAACAGTTCGCAGCAAGCGAAAGAAGGCGAAGAACAGTTATCCTCGCAAACTAGGCGAAGTCCTCTGGGTATACCAAAAAGCCAAGGTCTACGAGAAACGTGTCGTGATGCCTTGGGCTGTGTTTTTGTTATTCTCGTGTCCATTTTAGTATATTTTACCGATTCTAACGTGGCCAAATACATCGATCCGCTTTTCGCAATTATTTCAGCCATTTCACTCTTCGCACTTAGCTATTCATATAGTAAGTATTAAAATGTAAATAAAGAATTATTGGAAAGATGTTAGATTGGTAATATTAGGTATAATAAATATTTCCAAATGAAACTTTATTCGCACATAGCTTTTCCGAATGGAAATATTTTGGTTCTGTGTTTGACCTATCGTTGAAATGGCTAAAAATTACTCGATTATAAGACATTTAGTCCGATTCTGATTAACATGATTCTGATCATCCTGCTTATTTGAACAGAGAAACCAAAAAGATTTCTAATTAGAATGAGTGTCATTATATATATGTGTGTGCGTGTGAGTGTGAGTGTGTGTGTATGAAACAAAATGAAAAATAAATATCGAAAATTTAAAAAAATAAGAATTTAGAAGCAGAACTTTGAAGTTCTGTTGAGTATCAAACAGAATTTTTTTTATTTTCAAGCGTTTCGTGACAAGGATAAAGGAATAAGAAATAGTTGTTGAGATTCTTCAGTTAAAAGTGGAATTGGGTGTAAGAACTAGTAATTATGTTGATCTCTTAAATATTTTAATCGTCCCATACTTTGATTCTGTTTAAATCAAAGAATATTTTTTCCTGTCTTACAAAGACATTTTTATTATATTAACATTAACTGTCGTGATTGATGCAACTGATTGATACAATTTTTATTCCATTCAAAATTGATCCAATTTCTAGCAAAGCACTTTTTAATTTGATCATGACATGCGTGCAAATTTTTATTATAGTGAAAGAATCTGGACTGATACTGCTGCAAACAATCCCTAATCACATAAACATTGATTCTCTTAAGAGAGAATTACTAGAAGCTTTTCCTGGTATCGTGAACGTACACGACTTACATGTTTGGCAATTAACAGGGCAGAAGATAATCTCTACGGTTCACATCATATTCTTGGATCCAATGGTGAGTTTCCTGCAGTGATGGGTTTAAGTACATCGCAAGTAGATTCGAACACTAACCAATTAGATTGGATTAGAGTCTTGAGAAAACGAACTGCCACTTTTTCAAGTTTTAAACTTGAACCTAAACGTAAAAGATTCGAATCCCCTACGAGTACTTTGACTGGTACTAAATAAAAATAGGTACTCTCACGTACAGTCAAACGCTAGTCCAAAACTATACCAGCACTTTATCAGAAATTTTTGGTTCGCTAAATTCATCTTTCCGGTTCGTTACAAATGCAAACGTTCAAATAAAATTTATAGGAATCTTATTTATTGCCTATAATTTCTGGGGAATTTGTCTAGTTAAAAGAATTTAATGAAATTCTAATAAAGGTAATGCCTTTCTGATTTTCATGTTTTTTTACTACTTGTAAGGGATTCAATTTGTTCCAACATCGAAGTGGTTATAAGTAGATTTTGGAAAGGTGCAAGTAGTGCTTCCAAGCTTCGAAATCAATTTGCGACGATCCAATACTTGACAAGCACCTTACTTACAATGGACGAACCATTATATAATCACGACATTGTCCATCTTTAATAATAAAAATACGAGTAGAAACACAGGTAACATGCCTCGAAAACAGTTAATGCACGGGTAAATCTTAGTATTGGATTTGATTCGGATGAATTAGTCCATATCCGAACTTGATCCCATTATTAGTTTACTGCATTTAGTGGGTGTACTGAATAAGGAATAACACTCTGTTGCACAGGTTTATGCCAGTATTACCGACGAAGTAACAGCCTTTTTCATACAGATAGGAATAACTCAAGTTACCATACAGCCGGAATTTTATAAGGTATGTAAGCAAATATTTTTAAATAGACACGAATTGTAAAAAAGAATATTAACAAATCAAACATGTATAAATATGATGTAAAATGTAAATTGATATTAGATATCTACAAGATTATATATTATACCCATGTTAAAATTACGATAATTCGGCATATTTGTGACTTTTATAGTGCTAAATTATTAATCCAATTATTGAACTACACATAAATGTTGAATTTTCGTGGTTAAGTGAAAAAAATTGTTCTCTTACGGATTGTTCGGATTGGTTCATATTTTGAGTTATGTCACTTTTGACGACTATTTATTAGTAGTTGTAGTTTATAGCACTTTCGATTATTATTATTATTATGATTTTTATTAGCCAAAAACATAAAGAGCGATATTCAGAAAATTGTCCCAAGGAATTATGATAATTTTTAGTATGTATATTTTGAATAAAATACTTTACATCGAATGTTTATTATATTTTCAAAAATAGCTATGTAAATTTGTACGTTGATATTCGTACGTTTTTATTCTTGGTATGATAAATGATTATTGTTTGCTTTCGGAAAATATATTTCTTTCTTAATGAAATTTTCCATTAAATATTTTTGTTTCGTATTTCCTGTCGATTAATCTTACCATATAGTAAAAGTTTTCAAATATTATCATAACTTAAGATAATAATTTGTTGACATATATAAACTAAATTTAAAAAGTGACACAATTATAATAGAAATATCACTTCACACAAATGTTGTAACTTGAAATAATTAAGATTTAGGTATTTGAGATCATTGAAAGATCATTAAAATTGCCACAACTCCATAGAATGCTGATTTTTATAGATTGAGAATGAATAAGAAGGAAATGCCATTCCCATTTTATGTGTGTGAGCATTATGTTGTTTCTTCTATAAATCTGATTAACAAAATATTGTCGTTTTATCCTATGCTCATTACTACGATATGTTAAATACTCAAGCAATTAACACTAAAGTAAAAAACAAAAAGAATCTTCCTTACTTTATTTTCCTTATTTTATTAATTTTTAATTTAACAGTTGAGACCAAATACGGAAAAAGCCGATTGCTTGATACGTTGTCATGGCGAGCACTGCAGTTCATCTCAATGCTGCTCGAAAGAAAAATTCATCGAAGATTCATGTTCGGACTTATCAACCAAACAACAAGATAAACAAGAACTAAACATAAACAAGAAACTAGAAAAAAAGCAGGTTATTCCAGCTTCCACAAACATCGATCTAAAAAGATTTACTATCTATGACGAAGAAGGTTCAAAATCATGTCAATCAAAAGAAAATTTGCCTGACGGACGTTCGTGTCAGCAGAGAGATGAAGATACATACAATAACAAAGATAAAGCGATTGATAACAGTCTTTATGCGATAAATGTAGTAAATGTTAACGATGGAAATTGTGTTTCGTGTATTACGAGTCACGATGAACAGAATTTAGAGATAGTATCTTAACTTTTAATCCTGCTGGAATCTGTGAATTTTCATATTTCAATTGTATTTATATTGAATGAGAAATCCTGCATACCGATCTGTGTATTTTGTCCATACTGAAAACATTTTTTAACATTAGAAATATAATTATTGAATTTTTAGTTAAATGAATTTTTAATTGATTTCGTTTAATAAAATTTAATTTAATATAGATAACTATGATAAAATAATTAATTTAATTGTATATTTTACATTCTCAATGATAAATATTAATACGAGTAATAAAATAGGATGGAATTAGAAATTTAAAAATGAGGTGATCTAATTTTAAACAATTATGGCCCTAATGACCCAATCTTAACAATCAATGTTGATTTTCAAACGAGTTATATATAGAGGTGCGAGGAAGTTTCCGGCAAAATAGATTTCTCACTCTATGGTCCAGAAACAATATTTTAATAAATATCACTAGACATCCCCAAAAGTTTGTAGCGTTTCTGATAATAATCGATATTAAGTTCTACTTTATATTTCGATAGAATGAACGAAGGTTATTTACAATGGTTAAGAAAAGTATTTTCATTTATTAATATGAACAGAAAGACTGGAAACTAGTACTAAAGAAGCACTTAGAAGCTACTGATTATGTATTTCCATAAACTGAAAAGTACGAGCAATATTATAATAATGTAATGATGTTATAAATATTATTTGTTTAAATTTACCTTGGAATTTATCACTATTTATATGATATCTGTATACATAACAAATAAATTTATGAAAATAAGTCACTTTTTTCACTAATCATTTATCCAAGTGACGAAGTTCTTAAATCTACAAAAATTGCGATTGATTAGTTTATCTTTTGAGAGACAATCCACGTATCCTAATGACTTGATATAATTTACATATTTACGATATAATTTACATATTATAATTGACATATTTACGATATGTTTGTATCCAAGCATAACGACATCTTTATTGTTGAAAATTCCCAAACTGCTATTTATTGTACATTTATACAAAGCAGTCGATTTGTATCATTGTTGTATCAGTTATCAGTATATAAATAATACAATTACGAATAAGTTGAGTCGCATTTTTGCAACTTTTTTGCAAAGCTTTGCAAAGCTAGCATGGCTTTAACAAATTTTATTGCCTTAGAAATTGAAAATGAATTGAAAATGTTTTCTATTCTGTTAAGTGCACGATGCTGCTCTTCGTATTGATGACAACTTGTATGAACCCGTTTAACGTGTTTTGGTAATTTATTTGATCAAACATTACAATAATTGTGTTTTAAAATATTGCACTGAACGATACTTGTCAGCAACTGAAAATTGGACAAAGTGATTGTAATTTATTGAAACACAAACAGTATATACCAGAATAACTGTAAGAATATTGTTCGATATCTATTACTAAATATTTTTAAATTTTATTTTATTTATTTATGGTCGCATCCATCTCTGAGAGTATTAGTTACTAGTTAGGTTTCACCTTCCATATACGCACAAGATTTTTACGATTTACAGATTTTTCGAAGTGTTATGTTCATGGTGAGGACGAGTGACAAACGACAGATATAATCAGTTGCAACACGGAACCGTCTAGACAGCATACTCACTTAATTTTAAATCAGATTTAACAATTTTTTTAAATTTTAAGTTAAATTATTGTAAGTTAATTTAAGTATATTTACACATATAAGTTACTATGTACAAATATATATATATATATATATACACATACATATACATATTAATATAATGTATTATATCATATATATTATATAATTATATATAAATTAATGTAATAAATGTATGTATATTGTATATTTATATATGTATATGTATATATGTATTTCATATATATTTTTGTGCAGTGATCAGCAATAATTCGTTAACTTTGAAATAACAAATTAGTTTATATCTATAAGAGGATATATGAACACAACCCGCAATTTAATGTTATAAGACGCACGGATTGAGGCGATAAGCTTGTATAATTTGTATATTAGATTAATCTGATATTGGATAAACAAAAAAGCGTACGATATAATGGACATATTGTGTAAAGTAGATATCAATTACAGTATATGTGTTGATTTTGCTAGATTAGTTGGTTTATGTCTTTTAGGAATTGTAAGAAGTGGTTCACTCTTTCCTTCTTATTTATGACCAATTCAAGATTACTTAGAATGCTATAGTATCTTTTTTGTTTTGATACTTTCAACAATTAATTACAGTTTTGCCTGAAAATAAGTAACACGCTCGAGATTGGTAAGTTGCTTATTACAAGACATAAACCAGTTGTATATTACAAGGCAACATGTAATATACAGGTTATTCGGCTACATGCGTAAAAAAATTTAAGGAATGATTTTTGAAGCTCAAATAAGATGGAAATCGAGAATTAAAAAATTGCTTTTTCGACTTTTTTCTAGTTATTGACAATTAAAAATGAAGCGACATATTCCTGTGCGCGAGCAAACTTCCTTACACGAACGAAAGTAGGTGAGCCTAAGCAGCGAGATGCACAAGTATCCTCAAATCGAACGATACTTGGGCAGCAGCTTACTTCGTATAGGTAGAGAAAAAAATTATGACATTTGAAGACGTAAATCATCCTGCACGATGTTCTGTAAGAAAAATTGTAGATTAAACATTATACCTGTCTGCTCATTAAAATCCATAACAACGTATGGAAAACCGCCTCATGGAATTTTCGAGTAAAGAGAATTAATGTTTCCTCTAATCCTTTGCCTCCATAAATAATTAAGAAATAATAGCACATATAAAAAATGTTTACACAAATTTCATACACACACCGCGATTGTCCCGTTCGCGGGTAGATTTTTCTACAGAAAAATCACATACAGTATGTGAAATTGATATTTCACCTCAATGAGTCGTAATTCACGATTCAGAACGTTCGAAAAAGAGCAGAAAACGATCGTTATCGAATTCGGGATCTGATGGAAGAACAGAACCTAAACGCGAGAACGAACACATCCGTAAGATGAAGTGGTTGGTGAACTGATTGGATCGTCGATCGTAATTACAAGTACTACAACTTTGTAAATTTCTGATTCATTAAAGAATGATTTAGTTGTCTGCACATGGGTGAGACGTATGGATTGGCGGAATAATTTGATTGTGACGGTCGATCGGTATTACTCAGAGTGATCACAGCTTGTTGTTAAATCGTGATATGATATACGCACACAGGTTATGAAAACGTGGATGAAGATGTAAGAGGGAATGATCCAGTTCTTTAGTAAAATTATTTAAGGGGACTGTGCTATAAGAAACGCGCTCGGAAAAACTATGAGAAGAGTATTGTTCAAAAAATTCAAGTAATCGTGGAAATTCGATATTACGATTGAGACGAGGCTTTAATCGGTATGGCAATCGATAGGATTGATAATGATAAAATCGAGTTGACTATGTAGTCTGGTCAACAAGTAGTCGCCAACGAATCATATTCATATACAATGTCGATACTGACGAGCAGACCCAATGCAAACGAATATCAGCATACATGAGAAACGCAGAAATCATGTTTGATTACAGTCGTGAAAATAAATAGATAGAATAAAAATGTATAGAGTATAAAATAATATAAAATAAATAAATAAATTACAGAATAATATATAATATAAATAATATACTATAAAATATAAAATATAGATGATATAATATAAAGTAATAGTATAAAAACGTAAAAAAAATTTTCCGTCGAACAGTACAATGAAAGGATCTTGCAGCGTGGAGTCACGTCGAATATACCTCGTTTGTGATGGAACTAAATAGGTTCTTGTATATGCTAGCGTGGAATACTTTCAGCACTTGGCCGCATGGTGTAGCACCTATACTATGGAACAGCTAAACCTACGGGCGTGAGTACTCTCATTTCCTCTCTATGTATATTAAAGACACTATCGCAATCAGAAGAATCACGGAATGTACGTTATCTGATTATCGTGAAAGTTTAAAATCTAGAATATAGGTTTGCGATCAACTAATATTCGCAGTAATGAATTTTTCTACATCCCAATATGAAGCCTATATCTTTTTCTTGCAATAAATACAGTTTAAATATTGAAATTGCTTTCTTATTGTTACAAAACCTTCAATTGTTAAAAATTATTTCTGTCAACATAATTATGTCCTGTATATTACTCTCCTGTAAACTTTTCCCAAGATTTTTTCCAATCTATATTTTCTTCCTTGAAATGTTTGAAAGAAAATATATAATGTAAATATAGTGGATAAATTTTCAATATCAATATATTCATAAATGAAGCTTCATACAATAAAATGTTTGAACACTTAACACAGGTTGCACTAATTCATAAGTGGCAATTACGTTGACCCCTAAATACATTACAATATGAGTTTAATAGATTATGCTATTACCACTGATAGATAGACGACCAGAAATAATCGCAATGTTAAATAATTTTATACAAAGTGGATGAATATTTGATATTTTTAATACCCAGGGAAATTATGAAATCATTTTCTAACATTCTCAATTTGATGAAATCAGAAATAGGAATGCTATTTTAGTGATACTAATTTTATTTTACTTAAAACATCCTTTAAACTTAAAACAGTTATAGTGTCTGTGTTTTGTATTCGTATAATTACTGGGCTTTTAAACATTTATGGGAAATTTAAAAGTATAAAATGGGCAGAATTCACATAATGTGTAAAAATGTATAAAATATACAATAGTACTCCTTATAATATTTAGCACACGATAGATAAATCATTCTAACTAAAGATGAAAAACGATACATTTAAAAAGATAAAAAAACATACTATGTAGAATTATTTGCATAATTATCTTTACAGGTTCAAATTTGAAAACGGAATAACATCCTTATTTATTATCACCAACATTAAAAAATGACAATTAGTAAAAAACTATTGAGAAAAAATTAATTTTTGTTTAAACGGAAAACAGTAGAATGCATCATTACATTTTTAAGAGATTTTTCAAAAAATTAAATGGTTAAAGAATATTAATTTTTAGGTATTCTAGTTAGAAATAACTATTATACATAATATAAACATTATATAATAACAACTTTTAGTTACCGGTATTCATTATCAGTGACGGAGATTGTTTTT